TATCCGAACCATTATCTGCGCCCGATGCAGTGTGTGTGTGTGTGTGTGGAGAGAGAGAGAGAGAGAGAGAGAGAGAGAGAGAGAGAGAGAGAGAGAGAGAGAGAGAGAGCATGGACCACCACGCAGGTAGAGCACCGACCACCGAGCACACACGCACACGCGCACCGACCACGGAGCGCACACACGCGCACATTCTGGAAAGTGGCGGTTGATTGGAGGGGTGGCCAGCAACAACAATGGGGGCGGGCTAATGGAGGGGTGGGCCGGCAACCACAATGCGGGCAGGCAATTGGAGGGGTGGCCGGCAACACCGCAGCGGGTGGTCGGGGCAACGAAAGCAGACGGGCGGGCGATTCGGCGCTTCCGATACCAACCGGCGACCGTGGAGGAGTGGCCAGGGCGGGCCACGATTACGGGCGGACGGGCGGGCGGACGATTGGAGGGGTCGGCCACGATTACGGGCGGACGATTGGAGGGGTGGGCGGGCCTGCAATTCGGCGCCTCCGGTAGCGACCCGCAGAATCTGAAATCTGACATCGCACGGCCTGAATCGCAGGCCGGTAACCACCACGGACGGCCCAGATTGCAGGCCGACCAGAAAACTTTCTGATCGCCCTGCGATCCGTGCCGTCCGCGGTGGTTACCGGCCTGCGATTCGGGCCGTGCGATATGACATTTAGCAGTTACTATAGTAGGTGTAGATGCTGATCTCTTCAGATTCAGAGGTCCAGATAGGCCGCCCTTTTCAAGCCTTTTTGGCGGGCCTACCAGCCCTGGCTTGATTTGTTTTTGGGCCAGGAGACCTCCACGCAGGCCTTGGAGGCCTCCTCGCCCAAAAAAAAAAAAACGGTAAGCTACGGATCCTTGGTGCTTGTCACTGCTGTCTGGTCCAAGTTGCCCTCGATACTGGTAGGGTGATGGTCCTGAGTGCTGGTCACACTGATGTAGGATAGTAGGGATAGGGGTTGCACAGGGAGTATTAACGTGGGGAAGGGTAGGGAAGGTGGCCTAATCTGTCTGGACAACCACCTGCTGCCGCTGCCAGCGATCAACGTGGGTCGGTCCTTGGCCTCTACAACACCCTCGGCTCAAGGGGAAAAAAATAAAAATAAAAAATAAAAAATTGATGCGCTATGGCCAACCGGGGGGAACCAGCCCGCCCGACCGTCTGGTAGGACCTGTCAGGTTCCGGTTGGCGGAGGGGCCCCCGGTCCTACCGGGTTTACAGTACTTGCCATTACTCATTTCAGGGCCTAAAAACTTTTCACTGTTTTCAGGGCATTTGGCTGATCCAAAAAGAAAAAAAGAAAAAAAAAAATCCCCAAAGATGGTGATATCAAAAATGCGCTCGCAACCTTAGTTGTACCAAAGCATGCATGTACCTCCCGCTGTTCTAAGAAAAGCATGCAACCTAGTTGTAGATCAGACATGTTTATCTTTAGAAAGGTCGTACAGTCCATGAGATTGCGGTACACGATCGAAGAGTCCAAAAGTTTTTGACGGTTCTTTTGTAAATACATTATTTATAAGTCCGCACTGTTCAAGGATCGAACACGTGATTTCCCTATCCGGAGGCAAACACTCAACCAAACGGTAAAGTGGACCGGGGTGAAAGTTAAGCCCCAAGATGAGCACTTAACCCCACCTCAACACGGGTACTCGTTTTTCCCCGTGATCCAGAGTACCCGGTCACACACATGCACAATCGAAGTAGACATAGCCACCACACAATGAAGACAAATTTGCACACCAGCCGAAGCTAATGGCACCACCCGATCGTGCCCAAGCCACTGCAAGGTCGATCGAGTGGCTCTAATGCATTTGTAAATACATTATTGAAGGTTCGCTTCTTTGAAATGGCAAAATGAACCAGAGCCCCAACTACAGAAGAACATTCAGTCACAGAGGCGTCGAAGTTAACAATATGTATGATACACGTCCTTCGATTGATGTACATAATTCTCACATGAGCAGCAGGATCGGACCAGAACCGGAAGAGAACAGCTATGCCTACCATAGCCATATGATGCAAGGTCACAGCAGAATGCCGCGTATGTTGTCCGCATTGCGCACATTCCATGAGAAAACACCACCACTGGAAGCTTTCTCTGCAGCCCATCATCGTCAAATTCCACAGGCGCAACAGGCTTTGCCACTGCTGCAGCAATCACAACTGGCATGAGCAGCAGGTGGACCAAACCTGAACAAGCACACACACGCACGCAAGAGAGAGAGAGAGAGAGAGAGAGAGAGAGAGAGAGAGAGAGAGAGAGAGAGAGAGAGAGAGAGAGAGAGAGAGAGAGAGAGAGAGNAGAGAGAGAGAGAGAGAGAGAGAGAGAGAGAGAGAGAGAGAGAGAGCATAGCAGAGGAGGATCGAGAGAGAACACATTGCGAAGGGAGCACAGCACAGCACAGGCTACAGAAGACGACAGACGCCAGCGCAGGGTTGACTGGGCAACGACGGTCAGAGAGGACCTTGGCCGGAGTTGCAGCAGATGGGCAGAGACCATGGCACATACAGGGCCATAGACGGGACACACCAGAAAGGTCCGGGCAAATGGAACCGCAGAACGGGCAGAAGCAAGGGATACAGCAAAGGGAGAGCAGAGAAGTATGGGAGAAAGAGAAGGCAGGACAAAGCAGAGAGGTTGGCAGAGAATAATTAGGTGGAGCAGCGAGGAGCATACACTGAGGGGAACACAACACAGTCGTTATGAATGCGCAAAGACCAGAGAGTCATGCCAACAGAAGAGAGAGGAGAAGAGAGGAGGAGCAAAGCCGGGAGGAATGAGCAGAGAAAGAGGAGGAAAAAGCAGAACAGAGGGCAGCGAGGAGGCAAGGACCGTACACTGAGGGGAACACAACAGAGTCGTTGAGCGCAAAGACCAGAGAGTCATGCCGACAAGAGAGAGAGGAGCAGAGAGGAGGGGCAAAGCAGGGAGGATGGAGCAGAGGAAGAGGAAAAAACAGAAAAAGAGGGCAGCAAGGAGGCAGGGAGTGCAACTGTCAATCCGCATCTGCAACTGTGATTCTGGATGAGGGACATAACGACACTCATATGACGCAGATAAAGAGGTTTGTATGATGAAGACAAAGACGCTTGAATGCAGACGGGCACTTGTATGATGCAGACAAGGACGCCCTAGTGGCTGAATGTACACACATGTAACTGTTGTAAAACAAATCATGAGATTGAATACTGCAGCAAGCAGATGGAAACAACAATGTTAGGGGCTACCTGTAGAAAAGCGGAAAAAAGGACACTTGCGTACCAAGCCTTAGTGGCTGGATGTACGCACATGTAACTGTTCGCAAACAAATCATGGGATCGATCCTTTAGCAAGCAGATGGGAAAAACAATGTCAGGGGCTACACACAGAGAAGGGAAAAAAAGACACTCGTATGCAGACAAACACACTTTGCTTCCGACAGGCGATGTCTCTTGTCCACCGGCCTGCACGAGGTTGTAGGGATACAAAGGCCGCAAAAAAGGCGACCCTATCACTGTTCAGATCTTGATTCTCTGAACACACTGCCAATGCAAAGTGAAAAAGTAACCCTGCACGGTGTGTCATGTATATCTCTGATTTCAAAACTAGTTAAACCAACACTAACTTTCAGAGGCAAATAGTACTCCCCCTAGCGTGGTTGTGAGGTTCTTATTAAAAAAAAAAAAAAAAAAAAAAAAAAAAAAAACTTTCAGTGGCCAAGGCTAGTTATACCTATAGCCTATACCGCATTCTTCGGAGGCCGGGCGCCACCAGACCAAAGTGGCTGGCAGCGCCAAGCAGAACGAAGGAAAAAGTTGGCCTGGCGCTTCAGCAAAGTTTGGCATGCACTTCTTTTCCATCTCGGCAAGAAGACGCTCGGGAGGTAGCGGTGGTTTACGAGGAATTGCTTTGGACAGGTGATGATGTCTCTAGTCGACCGCCATGAGAGATGTCGGAGGGGATACACAGGCAAACCTATACACTGTTCAGATATTGATTCCCTGAAAGTTTTACCGACGCAAACTTGCAAAGGTGAAAAAATCATCTTGCGTGATACGTTTTTGTATATTGACTTCAAAGTTCAGGCCCAATTAAGGGGAGTAGCTTCGAACAGGGGGGGGGATGTCTCCTGTCGATCGGTCTGCGTGAGATTGCAGGGATTCCAAAGGCCACCCTATCCAGTGATCAAAATCATCCCTGTTCGAATCACTCCTGGATTGATTCTATCAATTTCTATGATTACTTTTACCCATGCAAGGTAACATACACATCCCCCTCAGTATGTTGTGTATCTTTTTCATTTCAGGACTTGTAGCAGGGGATACGAAGGCAACCCCATCCACCGTTCAGATCTTGATTCTCTGAATACTTCAGTGGCGCAGATATACATTAATTTTGTCCTTTGTACGTATTTGTCGAGGGAACAACAAATCATGATTCTTCCAGTCTTTCGACAAGATTCTGAGTTTCAGTGTGTTATGACATATCAATAACAACGTGCGTGATTCATCTTGACGATCAAAAAATGGGCCAAGCCGTAAAATTCTATAGAATACGCTATGTACAATAGACAATATTGCACACAAACTGTTAAGGTGCAAAAATTCATCATTTACAGTATGTTACTATGTTGTGTATTGTTTACTCCAAAACCAACTAAGGGGACGTAGATTGTGACAGATGATGTCTCCTGTCGATCGGGCTGCGTGTGGTTGTGGGGGATACAAAGGCGACCCTATCTGCCAATTCAGATATTGATTCTCTGAATATTTTACCGATTAAAAGTGACAAAACTACATGGTGCTAACACCGCGCTGTGTCCCTTTTCTTTTTTTTTTCTTTTTTTTTAAACTCCCTCCAGTGCTAGCAGTGCTGCTAAAAGCAGACACCGTTAGCACCTGTAGAGAGGCTCCATCTATTGGTGGGGAGTGTCACCTGCTGGAAAGCGCGCCCAACGTCCCTTATACAGGATAACTCAGCAGTACATCAGAGGAGAAAACAATCCGGAAAGGTATCTGGAAAAAGCCTGCCAACATTGATTAACTGAGCAGGTTGTTGAATCGGCATCCCTGTGAGCTACGTAAAAGGAGTTTTTTTGAAGAAGCACATGAGTATGGAACATTCCTCCCTTGACCTGGCCGGGGTTTCAGGAGGAGCCACTGGGGGGCACCAGTGGGATCTCCTTCCGTCACCCTGCCGCTCCCCTAAATCCACCGATCCTTTGCACTCCGAAAGCCATACCCAATGTCTTCCTGTTTCTACAAAGAACTCTGCCATACTAGATTGTTGCTGAACTGAAACCGAATTTGAGTATTGATTAGGAACATGTTCAGGCACAATGTCGTTTTTTACAGTCTGATCTCTAAAGAGTGCGAGTGGAGTGGCACTGTGCCTCGAGTATCCTCAATTTCAAAACTAATTAAGGGGAGAAGCCTCGGACAGGGGATGTCTTTTGCCGATCGGGCTTGCACGAGGTGGTAGGGTATTACAAAGGTGATCCTGTTCACAACTCCAACCTTTGTTCTCTGAATATATTGTGCATTAAAAATTGAAAAGTGAAAGGAGTGGCCTCAGGCCTGAGCATTATGGGTTGACCCGACCTCCACCCGTGTCTAAGCACCGCTGCAATATCCTAAAACACCTCGCGCGAGGTAGAAGGCAGATTCAAGACACCTCCCAACCAACCAGGAGAGGCAAGCAAACGATCTCAGCTGGTGAACCCGAAGCACGCCACAGGGGGCTGCAACATTCATTTCGATTCAAAAACTAGCACGGCGCAGAAACGAAGTAAAATTTATTTGATGTCACAGATGACGGAATAACAGCTCTATCAAAAGCAACTCCAGCAATAGTCAGCTGAACAGGGCAGGTGAGGGCCCTCTAGAAACGGTATGTCAAGGGAGACAAGGTTAATGAAATGCATCTGAGCAAAACAGTAAGAACAGTCAGCTGTACAAAAGAAAGAGAAGAAAATGAAAAAGGAAAATTACTTAACACCAACGACCCCCTGTATCAGAAGCACTGTCTTTTTTTTAGGGTCTGTATGCCCCTCCTCGGAAGCGTTGTCTTTTTTAGGGCCTGCATGCCCCCGACAGCCAGAAAATTTGAGGTTCAGGAAGACAGGCCTCAAGCGAGAGAAAACTTCAAGACTGGTGACGATCAGCTTGGATGGTCATTGACACGACCAAGTTCCATGCTGACTACTGTCTTCCCCCGAACATAAACATATGTGCTGCAACGAATACAACGCATACCATGCGTTGTATTCGTTTAATCCGCATATGCGTTTTATAAACTTTTATTCCAGTTGCCGAGAGCAACTTCACTGACACAAGGGGGTCGGGTCCAGGCGGAGTAGGCTCAGTTCTGGACCATCGTGGAGGACCTAACACTGAAAGAATCGGAAAAAAAATGTATCGGTGTACCTTTCGAAAGAAGCATTCCTCTCAGCTTCCCCTGTTGGTCCAAGCAGCTAGATGGAACTCGTGTGAGCTTGTTAAACCACCAGTACTTGGCCCAGCTATCAATGCCGAGCCTGAATATGCCCTGCGCGCTGTCTCACGCCAACCCGCCAGCAAAACCAAAAAAAAAAAATTGTTTTGGCTGGCGGCGTCAGCCTTTCAGGTCCAGTACCCCGGGCCTCCGAAACTTGCGGGGCGTTAAAGCACCAGTACACGGGCACCTGGGCCGCTGCCCTGACACCTCAAATTCTGGGGGCGTGAAACGAAACCGCGACCGCCGATCTAATTTATCAACGGCGGGCGCGGCGTTTGACGTTTCGGCCTCGTTTTCTTGTGGCGACAAGTTTCGGACTGCAAGGCTGGGGCCGTGTACTGGTGGTTTAACGAAAACGCCCCGCGGCCGGCATATGGCCCAAGTACTGGTGGTTCAAACCACCAGTACGTTTCCCAGCCATATTAGTCCAACGCGTTGTGCATTCGGCCTACCGGAGCAAACAAAGAAAGCGTGCACCATTTCATTTTTTCCGGTGCAGAGGGAGTTTCCAGGCTTAGCAACGGAAGGGTAGACTCAAATTTTACTGGTGGTCTAAACCGCCGGTACACGGCCCCTTGCTTGACTCCTACTCGGAGCTTCCACGCATCGGGCCTACCGGACCACAATGGCTGGCGGCACCAGCCTGGAAAGAAAAAAAGTGTGCCGCTGGCAGTTTGGGAAAGCTTGGCGTGTGGTGCAGCGCCTCCAGGCCCGGGTGTATGGGTCGGGTTTATTGGGCTTCTAAATCCATACGGACTGCATCACTCTCAACATCCCAACTCCTGATCCCACTCAATGCACAGGAGAAAGTCCAAATAGTAACACGGACAAGGTCCCACAGGGCCCAATTGCCCAACATTCTGTCTTCCTGGGGCAAATGTCCCACTTGCACTGATCGTTCATTCTTGGCCATTGATCTTTGTAATCTATGGTCTGAAATTGACAATCCGGGTAAGTGGGACTTCGCCCCTCGGCGCCTATTCTTGTACTCTTATGGCCCATACCTTCACACATAAATTATGAAACACAACAGCAAATCTCTCTACATTCCCCAGTCTGAAGGCATCTCTTCCATCTGACAGGTGATAGTCAGCAAACCAATGAAAAAAGAAGAACCTTTCAAGAAAATGAAAACAAAAGAAGAAGAAGTCGCATAAGAGCGACATGTCAGTCAGAAAACAAATGTCACCGGAAAGAAGAACAAAAAACAACCGACAAAATTAAGTACACAACCATGATGATTTTTTGTTGCATCCATAATGCTGCACCTGTCAATACTTTCTCATTTATATTACTGTCCCTACTGCTCCACGTGGGCTACAGAGAGCTGTGAAAACCACATGGGAATTAAGGAGGGGGGAGCGAAGGGAAATAGTATGTCCTCGAAGGGGAGAGCTTGCGCCTGTTGGGTTGTTCTTCGCAGACAATGATAGATCTCAATCATCATTACGAACTTATAAAGATATGAATCTTAGGGATGCCAAGCAATCATTGCTTTGAATCTGACATAAATCCGACATAAATTTTGGAGATGCCAGACCACTTGAATAGATGACGCCACTAGTACCCCACCCAGGTGAGGGCCTATCCCCTTTACCGGAAAAAAAGCAAACATGAGAGGGGGCCGAACATTCCCCACTGGCACTCTCCACGGCTGGCCATCGATGCAGTGATCTATGTTCAGAAATGAAAAACCCAGGTGAGTGGAACATCGCCGCAGACTGGCGATTCTGGATTGTGAAAATCAGAGGTGAAGAACCCGGGATAAACCACCAGTACCTACTGGTTAGTATGGCAGTTAGCGCAGTAGCCGAATCGGTCTGCCCCTCGGGTCCATATTCATTCGACCCCGGGGGGGCGGGGAGGTACAAGGGTTAAACCACCAGTACCTACTGGTTGGTGCGACGGTTAACCCCGTAGCCGAATTGGTCCGCCCCTCTGGTCCATGTTCATTCAACCCGGGGGGGGGTACAAAAAGTGCAGTGGGTATGGGTGGTTTAACACACCATTGCCCCCGCCTTCAAAAAATTCTCTGGATTACGCATTGTGGATGTGGCACACAGTCACAGCGGAGGCTGGTTCGAAGGATAGGTGGGGCCTTGGAAATT